AGCATCTATAAAAATATACTTTAAAAATCATATTTTAGAAAGCTTCTTTAAGTTGTAACAAGGTTATTTTTTCCATATTTTTTTTTGTTTGGTGCAACTGGTGCCGATGCTGTTTCTTCCTAGGCTACTGATTTCTGGGATTTTCTTTATCACATTTAGTACATGTAAAATTTTTAAATTCATAGCTTTCTAGTCCAAGTTACTGCAAAAGGCTCAAGTCATGTCAAGATCTACTGTGGAAAAGGAGCCAGATTTTTATTTTTGCCTTCTGGGAAAGTTTATGATAAGGTGAGATAAACATCCAAAATAGTTAAGGTTGTTTATCCTGCATCACCAAGAAGACATTCTTGACATCACTTGTATACAACTGAGCAGGGGAGCTGCTCAATCAACACTGACAGAAATCCAACCCAGATCACCTGGCCCTGGGGCTTACAGACCTTACTTCAGTGAGATAAAATCTGCTTCTGTTGGGATAAAACCTGAGCTGTTCACATAGCTTCTCCTGTCACAAGACAAATTTTGGTCTGTAAATACTCCTCCTGCAGTTGTATTTCTTCCAGGGAATTATTTCTGGACACTTAAGCTCACCTTGACATATATCTGTAGTATCTTGGGGCTTGCAAGGAGGAATGAATCCTACAAAACAATCTGGTGTCATGCTTGTCCAGTGTAATGACTTGACTACCAGCTCCAACTCTGCAAGTCTTAGACTTGGAGAGCAGGTAACTCAATCCACAGTATTTTTCAACCAATATAGAAAATATTCTTATTCTTTTTTGACTCTTCAGTTTAGTGATGTCTGCCTGAAAGTCAACCCTCTGACAGTAGGAGGAGGGAGGCATGCTGAATGCAAAGAGATTGGGAAGGCATTTCTCTGAAACAACTGGAAGTACCAGACTTGCAGGGGACTAGGGAAGTTAAGAAGGGCTCATGGCTGTGCTGATCAGTAGTGCTGACATCTACTTTGACATCTTACCTATGTAAGGTAAAGCAAGCTCCTAGGTTTGGTAATATATATATATGCTGCTCTTTGTGTGATTATTGATTGAAAAGGTTACTCCATGTATAAAAAGCTCTTAATGTGCACTTTAAAAGCTGCTCTCACACCATTCTGCAGAAACAAACCCTATGAACATGCTTTTTCTTTCCCCTAATTCTTATTTTATACTCATGTAAGTGACAGCCACTTATTGCAGTGAAAATGTGATTTGCAGTAGAGGATGAGTTCTTTGGTGGTAGATGTGCTGATAGCAAACAGAGGAACACACTAATTATCATACTGAAGTCAAGGAAAGCTGGAGCATGACTCATTTAGGAATGCTTTGTCTTCCCCTAATTGCATAATTACCTTAGAGAGCTCTCTGACCATTTGGCATAAAGGTCACGCCTGTTTCCTCTGAGCATGGGAGTTATTCCTGTGCTACTCCTAACAGGATAGAAAGTGGATGTGAGAAAGACATATGGCCATGGCCCAAATTTTCCTCTATATAACCCAGGAACAGTATTTGTGCACTACAAAGTCCTTCATTCTCTGAAATGAGAAAGCCAAAGTTGACCATTAAGTAACATGAATCAGCACTTTAACCTTTGCACTAAGACAGGATCTGTATTGACAGGGATAGTGTGATATTCTGGGTTCTTTGGTGCTGGTACTTGTGACATCTATTTTCTAATAAACATGATTTAAAAAGAGCTATGAGGTTGCCACAAGAACAAGAATCTTTCCCATTATACTCGTATGCTGTAAAGCTAGCCTGACTTGCAAGCAAACAAAACAGATCTCCCCAACACCTCATTCTCACAAGCAATAAATAAAAAAAAAAAAAGATATGAGTACTATAAATGCTTATAAAATGCACATAAAAGCAGATGGTAAGCTAAGGAAAGAGACCTTAATATCCCATGAGAAAATGGAAAATTAACTTGCTAGTTATATTAGCATTAAAGGAAGGTTTGCCTGGAGAATTCTTCTAGGATACTCAATAGTGCAGTTTTCAGGGCTCACCCCAGCTCATGTATAGAACTGATTAAATAAGTCTGCAAGATGCAACAGAGAAACATATAATTGAACTATATGGATAATTGAAGTAAAGATATTAAAATCGTTAGTCCCTCTGATAAACTCTCGTTCTGGAGGAAGGCTGGAATTTGTGGTCCCTTTCTTAGACACTTTATTGATGTTATCCAGTGCTATATTTGGAAGCTACAATTCTCCTTTGCAAACTGGTGATGTCATCACTATGCAGTCAAACTTTCATCCCACTCTCCTCTTCATTATTTCTATGAATTTTCCATCCTTCACTGTACACAGATCCATCCTCCATTCAAAGCAATTTAAGCAAATTTTCTCCTGTTCTCCTTACAGCCCACCAGCTACTATCCCCTAAGTTATTATGGGGTATATACCCACTGGGCGTAGAAATGGAAATACTTGCAGCTGCTACACTTCATGCTGACCCTGATGCTGGCAGCGTGTTTTAGAAATGCACACAGGATACCAGCCTGGTTGGCCCTGTGAGAGTTGTGCATGAATATGAATCCAAGTGGCCTGATGCATCTGTCAGTGTAACCTTTTGTGTACACTGGCTTCTCAGCTGTGTGTCTGGATTGTCAAGAGTATTTAAGATTACTTATTTGTTTAGGGGCTCGTGATGGTTACTTAAATATTTCCTTCTTTTTTTATCAGTGTTCTTTTTTGACAGTGGGGAGTGATGCAGTTAATTGCTGGCTGAGGCTGCATTAGATTCCACTTTTTGTGAGAAAACTCTCATCAGAGGGTTTCCAAAGGGAAAATTTCTGCAAGAGAAAATAGCTGGAAGACAACTCCAAGCGTGACTCTGGTGAGTGGAGCTATTCTAATACAAAGAGTGCATCACTCTAAAGCAAGCAAAATGTTATGACAAGAGAAAGGAAAATGAAGAATCTTGATCCCTAAACTGAGAGAGAACGGGTCAGCAGTTTACCACATTAAAGGCTAATATCCAAGACAGATTATATTCCAATGAATAAATATCTCAAACACAGACTACTTTAGAGCTACATATAACTTAAGCAGCTAACTTCAGGCTCTGGGTCCCAACTGTTTTTGTTATCAAACATGAAAAGGGTGACACCTCTGCTCTTTTCATGCTTTTTTGAATAATTTTCCTGAAGAGTTAAGGAGTTAACACGCCATAGTGTGGGTAGCTGCCCTAGGGATCAAGGAACACCAGACAGAACCTATAATAAAAGGTCTTGGATTAGATGGCGGCTGAGGAAACTATACAAAAAATGCAGTCCAGGAAAGAGTTCTTAGAAGATGAAGTAGGGATTAAGCCAGAGCCTGTTTTACCATTTGCTAAAACACTCAGTACATTTGCCTTCATGGGTTCTGCATTCCAGAGGACTTCATGCTGGGTTAATAAAATCACTCTCTCGAACAGGCTTTGTAAATTCAGATAGCCACTGACTGCCCATATGGCAGAATTTGACTATTGCTATTAGACAGCTGTGGGAAGCTGAGGACAAGAAAGGGGAGATATCACCAAAATCTTATAGATATGTAGACATAGAGAGAGACACATGGCTTTGCCTCATGGCAGGAGCTTCCAAAATATGTTCCTCATCAAAATGTCAGGATCCGCTTTAGTTTTTCCTTTCAGGAACTGTAATTGGCACTTCTGCTTTTTGTAGGTGATATACATGTGGTTTATGTGAGATTTAAACCCTCAGACACTCTGAGCTTAAGTTTCAAGTGCATTTTAAAACAATTAGCACGCCTACAAGAAAAACAGCAAAATACCACATTTCTGTTGCTCACAAACTTAGAGGGAGATTGAGTTTATGCTCTTCCTAAGGGAAGAGCACAGAGAAAAAAAATGCATACTTCCCTGTAACCCAATGCCAAACCACTGCTCTCTGTTTTGAGTAGCAAATGCCATTCTTACTGCGTCTAAAAGCCCAGACTCCGTTTCTTTTCTCAACATGTAATTGTGTATTTTGGTACTGCTCTCAAACAGCAGTTTACCAGAACAAAGGAGTTATCTTTATGGGACAGCCAGGGAAACACACAAAGAACAGGAAGATGCAGCTAATCTAAATAATGACATTGAAAACAAAATAGCTATTGGGCTATAAATAAACAATATGAAGTAAATATAATTATTTTTATTACGAGAAGACACAGAATTAATTCATGAGGATAATGTCATCTGCTGTTTCTTCAGACTTTAGTTCTTATTTTTTCAGTCAAGCCATAGGCAAGACTTGCTACTTTCTTCAACTTTTTACAGTATGAACTTTTATATCACTTCTTTTGGAGAAAGTTGCAAAACACAGATATGTACGTTTAGGAGAAAGATCAGACTTTCTAAAATAGTGAAACTGCTCAAACCACTTGTTTTCGAACTGTGCAAATACATGCATTCTTACAAGGCAGGAAGGTAAATATACACACGACTGCATTAATTAAGACAATACTTAGTTTCCTGCAACACAAAGGAATTTTCGTATTTAGACAAAGTTTTTAGCGATGCAGTCTCCCATTGTGTGTAGGTGGGTGTGCAAAGCAAAGCAGCAACCTCAGTTTCACGGATAAAAGCACAAGGGCTGGTTTTGACCCGGCGAGTGAACGGAGAAAGAATTAAATAATCCTCTAAACCAAAGCCAGAATCAACTTTCTGAGTGCCAAGCTCAGCCGGTCCCACCACCTCACTTTTCGTCAATACAGTCCTGAGCGATCTGAGCAGAAGCCTGAGCCACGTGCCTTTTTCGCAGGGACTGTCTTGGTGCGTATCCTGGGCAGCAAACTGGGCTGATCTGTCGCCTTGCCACATTTAAAACACGCACTCGTGTTTCCCCGTCCCAGCGCCAACCCGCAGCCCTGCGCTGAACCGCTTCCCCGGCGGAGACACGCCAGGAGCAGAGCGAAGCGCTCAGGCTGGCACAGGACACACACCCAGGACACACACACATCCAGCGCTGGCCATGCCACCGGCCCCCCGCCCCTCAGGCCTTACCTGCTGGTGGGCGAATGGCTGGGCGGGATGTCCTGTACGAAGCTCTGCTCCATGCCCGGGATCCTGGCCGGGCTGTGGGGATGGTAGGCTGTCAGCACCACGCTGCCCGAGTCCTTCATCTCCATGGTCATAGGCACATGCCGGCCGCGCTGCGGGCGACGCCGGCGGGCGGGCGAGTGGCCCCGTCACAGGCACCAGCCCATGGCCCGGCCCGGCGGCCGCTCGCCGCTGCCGGCTGTCAGGAGAGCTGTGGCACCGAGACACGGCTCCTCTCCCTGTCAGCGAAGCTCAATTAGCATAAATTCAAAAACACCGCCCACAAAACAACCCACGGGGAAGTTACTACATTCCTAGGAAAAGAGAAACCTGAGATAATCCTGCCGTCCTGCACGGGACGCTTCCTGCCCGAACACTTCCCCCCCGCGAATAGTTCTCTACTTACTTGTTTGTTTTTTTTTTCTTGTTTCCTTTTTAAAAGCAAATTCGCGCTACTCCTCCTGTTCCTGAATTAGTCTTGCCTAAGTGAAACGATCTGGTGGACAGCACTACTCAAGCACACAGACACATGGTTTGGTGGAGCAGGGACTCTTCCAAGGGATGCAGGAACCGCGCGGGATCTGCTCCGTTTAAATCACCAAGCAGCGGGAGCTGTGATTTCCTACATGCTGGATCATTTCCATGGCGAGGAACTGCACTTGCTGTCTCCTGAAAACAGATTAAGCTTTCGTTTTGCCTGATATGGCTGTGTGCATACTTAGAAAAGCAGTGGAAAATGAGTGAATTACTCCTGTTCATCTGGAGCAATCCTGTAAATAAATACACACCAATATACTTGATATTTTTTCATGATTTAACTTGATCTCTCTGTGTTAATTAAGTGCTTTTCACTCAAAGGAGACAATCAAGAAGAACAATCAGGGTCTCATTCTGAAATAATACTCAGAGAAAACTCTGTAGGACAAAGTGAGAAAATTTGTAAATCCCTTTATTTTCCTTTGCCACTTCTTTAGGGTTTGTTTGTTTGTTTTTTTAAAGATAAGTTTCTGATAAATGCAAATTCCTGAAAACTACTGTCCTGCCTATGAAATCATGTCAAAGATGTTCCTATTTTACTCATTGGGCCACATGTCTCTGGGCACCTTTTGAGCACAGCTGTGAAAGACCGACCTCCGTGCAGCTTTGGCACAGCTGCCAGCAGCATCCTGAGCACAAGTTCACTCCAAAATGCTTGTTGGTCTTCTCTTTTGTGTCTCCCTTGAGTGAGGATTCTCTCTCCAGCACTGCTATGCAGTGCTATATTACACTATCAGTCTCTCTGGTGAAGCAGCTCAGGTTTTTAATCATAAAATTATCTTCTCACCTCCACCCTCCCCCTGAACTGGGTACCCTGCCTGGAGGGACACAGTGGTTTCAGTCAAACACGCTGCTGCGACTCATGTAGGCAGTGCCCAAGTTAATTTTAAATTAGCCAGCATAGGACACTGATAAAGGTACACTTGGCAGCACTTCTTGCCAGACTCACCCAGGAAGCATAAATATTTGAATGTACAGAGCCTCTAAGCCTGCTCTTGCTATGCTGTTAAGATATCCTGGCTCAAATATTTTCAGGCCAGGTTGCCCAGGATAAAATCATGGCTGCTTACATGGCAGTGTGGACGCCTTCTAGGAGCTTCCATGCAGCCACGTACAGATGACAGAAATGAAGGAGAAGGCTCTGAGTAATCCCTGGAAGCAGCACTAGGACCATAGGCCGTGGTGCCATGAGTGATGGCTGGGATGAAGGCAATGACCAGTGTTCTGTGATTACTGGGGTGTTCGGTCTTATCCTGGTTTTACATTTTCCTTCCTAGACCAGAGGGTGAGAAATCCCCTTCTCTGAAAAGGGGGAGTAATTGTTAATAGAACTTTATATTTGGCACAAATGCAAATAGGTATTTTGAATAATAATCAACCAATATGTATATATCAAACAGGATCTGAGAGCAAAAAACGATAAATATATGTTATAAAATATTTGCTGACACCCTTTAAGGATGTTCTTCACAATTTACTTCAAGAAATTAAGCACCTGAAAAAGCACACATAGTGAAATGAACCAAACACTATCAAAAAGGAAGTGGATGTCCTTTAGGAGATCAGGATGCTGACAAAATATTGGCTAAACTCCAGGAAAGCCTTTTCCTTTCTAAACACTAGTCTTTTTGCAGTACCATCAGCCAAAAAGTGATGATTATGTGTTTTAAGATATGTATAGATAAAGCCCACACTAGAAATGCAATATATTTTTAGTATTATTTTTATTTTCTCTTTCCATAATAAAACCCTTCAAACACCAACATTTAGAAAGTATACAGCTACCATCTCAATAGAAAAATGCATATAAATAAAGGAGGCCCACACTTATTAAATGGGATTTTCTCTAAGAAAAAATAAACATTGAAGATTTTATTTGGAGATTTATAAAGGGCTGATGTGCAATCTGAAGGCATATATAGAAATGGTAGACTATTTGGCAAAAGTACAAATAGATATTTTGAAAACTGATCAGCCAAAAGACATGTATCAAACCAAGAGCTAAAAATGTTTATATGCCTAATTGCTCTTGGGGTTAGACATCTGCATCTTATTGAAACCCCAAAAAATATGCTAAATCAACAAGACACACACATCAGCCTTTAAACAGAGTTTTAACTGGGCTAATGAACAGCCATAAGAAAAGTGTACAAGACAACATGAGCTGGACTCCAGCTCTATCAGAGCAATTCTGTTCCCAATGAAGTTGTTTTCCTGGTTTATAAGGAAACAAGTAGGAAAGTATTTTAATCCAATGTGTTTGTGTTTCTGCAAGATTCCCTTGAATACTAGTTTGTGAAGCACTCAGGACTGTGACAGTTCTAATTGTTTTCTCAGATACTTAATAGCTTTCTAGACCTTTCAAATACTATGCAAATGACATTTTAGTGGGAAGAAAATATTGTGAGGATCATTTTGGTGGCAAGCAGTAAAGTGAAGGTGCAGTAAGAGAAGAGTCTGTGGGGAGTCTGTGGTCCATAATCCCATGAGCAGCTGTCTTGGGTTTTGTAGTCAAGGGGCTTGTGCTTTCAAATTTTAAGTTGTGCTTCTGTCAAGGGGAGTGCTTTGCACTTTCACACATTTGCAAAATAATTAATAAAAAATAATTCTATAAGAATTAGTGGGCTTGAACTAGGAGTGAGAAATCTTTACTGACCTGTTACTTCAGAAACGTACATTAGTGGCTATATGCTTGTATGATCAAGCCTTCAGCTCATCTGTTGAAGAATATCTGTGACAGCCATAAACAAGAAATATAAACACACAGAAAGTCACTAGTTCAAGGTTACTGAAATGAAAAAGAAAGTGTTGCTGTTATTAATAGCAATTCTGTATCTACATTTAATTAATTAATAACCATTTTGGCAGCAAGATGATGGGCAACATTTGCATAGCACATTTAGTACCTATTGCTTCGAAAGGAACTCTAATGTTTTCAAACTGATTTTAAACAGCCTTTTCTGGTCAAATTCAAGGGGGTGTTGTTACTTAAAAGAATAGGATTTGTCAGCTAGGGATTCTTGTCCTGACATGGTCAGAACATTCACCATTAAGAGTAGATCCTGGAAAGTGGAAGATTCCCCTTTGAACTGCAAAACACACAAAAGTCTCTGAATTTCATTGCTCATTTCCAGCTTAAATTACCCAGGGCAAAATTAGACAAAATTGGCAAAACCCAGAAGTTAATTTTGGACCAGATTAACTTCAGTTTATGTTAGATTATGTTTTATAAGGAAGCTGTGTAAAGCACAGCATTTTTCACTGGTTAAATCAAGGGAAAATGAGTGAAATAATACATAGAAAAATGTAATTCTTGCACTGTCTAAATTTCCCCAGCCCTCTTGCAGTAAATTTTGTATCTGTCTGTGTGAAAGTAACCAAATCCAGAACCACTGTATTTCTTCATCTTTATTTGGGAGGTTGGTAGGGGGATCAAGGAGGTGGAGAAGGCAAAGGGTATCTCTTACTTCTCTCTAATTTTTCATTTGGATGGAAAGATGTTTGGGTGGGGAGCAGAAAGCCTCATCATACCAAAGAGTTGGTGCCAGCAGAAAGCACCTGGACTGTCTCAGAACAAGCAGTGACACAACATTGCATAAAAACCAAGTGCAGTGATGTGTGCATCTTCTACTGCTCAGTACCAATTCACACGAAAAAAAAGTGTCTGAGAAGGGGCTGACTTTGTGTCAGGAGAATTTTCACTGTGTCTTGAGGTCTATTTCCTTTCAGATAATTTTATGTGTAATGAAGGATATTTTTTAATCTTGGTTTAGCCTCTGAACCTTATATTCTGGTGATACTGGAAGCATTAGAGTCTTTTTTTCTACTATAAAGGAGAGCTGTGCGTGTGCCTTGTTGTGGTCAGCTGGGAAAATGAGGGCATGGGTGAGACCTACTGCTTTTATAACACTGAAAAAGACATAAATGAAAAAAATAAAAAAAATTGAGAAAAATATTTGTTATTCTGCTTTGTCTTTTCAAACTGAGAACAGAAACGACAGAGAATACTGTTGCTTATCCTTTAAAAGGAGGCTAATTAACAAGGCTATTTAAGCAAAGATAATAGAAATCAGGTATTGTGGCAACTGGTGGTTTTGCAAAGGTTTGTAATTAAAGTATAAAACAAGCATTCATCTTTGTTAAATATAGCCTCACATTTTTTGGTTCCAGACTCAATTTAAATATATACCACATTTTGGTGAATTTTAACATGGTCTTTTAAAAATTGATTTACTATGGATTCTTTTATCCTAAAAAGGATATTAAAGGGTAGAAAAAATTATTTACGCAACTTTGTGTAGTTTCTTGCTGAACAGTGACCCTCATTTATTTTCTAAGATCTTAAAAGTTGCTTCTCCTTAACCCAGATGAAACTACCCACATATTATTCCCATGTTAATTATGTCCAGAAAGGAAACTTCCTTAATCTGTCTGCCACAATAGGGCTTTCTGGAGGTTTAATTTCAGAAAAAGCTCATATCCTTTCATTCATCCATGAGGTTTATGCTCCTTCATGACATGTTGATCTAAGCACTTCAGCTGGGACAGCTGACATCCACAGCTGAATGCTGTGGTCTGTTTTTTCTTTTTTGTTCTGAGGCAGTAAGTTAAAATTACATGAAGGAGTGGTAATGTGGTTAAGAAAAGTAGCACTGGGAGAGGCTGGTTTCTTCT